GCCAAGCCGAGCGAATGCCATCTGGAACACGTCTAAGCCTACAGCTGAGCAAAATCCTCGTCAGCTGCAAACGTGTGCTACTTAAAAAAGATTTATATGTTGTCCTCCTTTACCCCTATGAATCATTGTTAGTCCCGTGTGAATATGTGTAACTGTAAATCGCTCAGTGCCAGCAGCTCTGCAGGATCGAGCGATTAATAAATCGAAAGATATTATTATTATAACAAAACAAATATTCTCTTCTCAGATTCTGCAACTTGCTTCTGAAACACAAATTCCCAGTGCTTATAAAAGTTTTGAAGAAGAGAACGTTGTGTTTCTCTTTTCCACATCTTCAAAATACCCACATCTGGCAAGAAAGCCCTGATGACCATGCATTAGGGGACATATCAGCTGATCTATTTTACTCTATGACTCAATTTAGATGAGTAAATCAAAATGTAGCAAATCTTGAGGGCCAGAACAAGTAACAGCAGACTTTTCCCCTTTGAGACTCTTCTGTAAGTATATGAAACCGCATCATACCAAGCCAGACTATGGGCTCATTTAGCCAGGTTGGTCTATAGCTGGTGGACCACACTAAATCTACCATCATCTTGCTTAGAATTTTAGAAAGAAGGGAAGGGAGGATGAATCAAAAAACAGGGACAGAGGGAGGGAGGAAGCTAAATACAGTAAAAAATTAATGGGTCCCATCAGAGTTGTTGGTATTAAACATGGCCCCCAGATATGAAAACACTGAAAAGTACTGATCTACACTGACCAGCATTAGCTGTCCAGACAGAAGTCCTTCAAATCCTGACTTTTAGCTGGAGATGCCAGAGAAGAGACCCTCTACTTGCAACTCATGTTCCAAGGTCAGGATAGGGCTAACATTCTCTTTAAATATTGTTAGCAGCCTTCTGCAGATGGGGATAGGATGGGTGGAACTGGAATTATTATAGCAGTAATTATAACCGATTCAAACTGCTTTTGAACATCAAAGAAGCAGATGAGATAATAAACTCTTAGTATCACTTATATATCAGTCATTAACTCAGGCCACCTTTCCTTGGCCACTCGAAGAGGCAGTTATCTGTTCACTACTTATAAAGACCATCCCTACTAAAAAATGATGTGGCCAGTTCCTTTTTCCTGAAACAGTTCAAGATAACCAGAAACCTATTTTGTTCTTTATTCAATAAATCAATATTTTTTAAAACATATCCTAGAAATCAGTACAGTCCTTCCTCAGGGTCACGTAGTCCTCTGAAGTGCCCAGACGCCAGGTCATACTACCAGCAAGAGAGAGAGATTTGGAATTTTTAATTCCTGGTGGCAGCAGAAAACTACCAAGTTTATATACACAGAGGGTGGTTTAAAGGAAAAACAGTCCCCCCCCCAATAAGCAAGCACGTCACAGCTACCATTCTGTTTTTTGAATTCTGTCTGGTTCCAGATTCCTACAATCCTAATCTTGCTGCGCTGTTTATGGAATGTCCCATCCTGTTGACTGCATTGACTCATTCAGTGTAATCCACCTTGAGTCCCAGTGAGAAAGGCAAACCATAAATAACGTAAATAATTTGTGATGGACTGCCCTTTAAAAGATCATAACAGCTGTGTAAACAGGTAATGAGCTGGCTGCTCAAAGGAATTTGATTGGTTAACATGAGCTGAGCAGAGAGAGACTTTGAGAGCTGAATGCTCAGGAGAATTAAGTCTTGCCTTGACTGAGAAGAGTTCGGTGCTGATGGGGTTTGTGTTTAGTTCTGACTGAGAGCAGTCCAACAAGGCTGGAGAACTGGCAGGGCTCTTTTTGTAGAAAAAGCCCAGCAGGAGAGTTTTGTCAAGAGAACACACTGGTCATAGCGAACACCCTTTTCCAACAACCTAAGAGGCGACTCTACACATGGACATCACCAGATGGGCAACACCGCAATCAGATTGACTATATAATTTGCAGTCAAAGATGGAGAAGCTCTATCCAGTCAGTAAAAACAAGACCTGGAGCTGACTGTGGTTCAGATCATGAGCTACTCATTGCAAAATTCAGACTTAAACTGAAGAAAATTGGGAAAACCACTAGGCCATTCAGGTTTGACCTAGATCGCATCCCTGATGAATATACAGTAGAGGTAAAGAATAGATTCAAGGGTCTAGATTTGATAGAGTGCCTGAAGAACTATGGACAGAGGTTCGTGACATTGTATAGGAAACAGCAATCACCACCATCCCCAGAAAAAGGGATAGATCTTCTAGTGAGAGGAAAAATTCACTACCCAGTTAAAAAAGGGAGACAGCTCAAAGAGTGGAGTGATCCGTGGTCTGGTATGTATAGAGACTGCCTGCTGAAACCTGAAGAATCAGTAAAACTCAATAAAGTGTAGTGGTGTGTTTAGTGAAGGTATTTAGGGATTGGATAGTGTATGCCTTCTGGAATCCAAAAGAGACAGTGAAGCTCAAGAAAGTATACTGGAGTGTTTAGGAAACACTGAAACAAAAGCCTTGCATCTTAAAGATTCTAAGTCACTGTGAAAAGCTTAAGAAACTCTCATTTGATTGAAACACAACTGAGCCAGCAGCAAAATATCATACTGTGACAGGGTGGGACAGCCGCAGATCTTCAGAGAAGAGGAAACTAGATAAAAAGGGCTGTTCAGACAGAAAGGGAGAGAGAACCGGAGGGAAAATTCTGCCTCTGAGGGAGGGAAGTGAGCAAGGTCATCTTTTAACATGGCAGCATACTCTTATGTTCACTCGGGATACCACCCATATGTATAGATATGATCTGAAACGATATTCGATTTGAAGAGGGATATACACAGAAAAACTAACCTTCACACAACCTGCTAAATCAAAATGCTGGCCAAGGTTGCTGGACATGAGGAATACAGGACACCTTCTTTATGAACCAACTCATTTTCTTTCCAAAAGAAATAGCACAATCTACTGGGTTACTCATTCTAAGATAACAAACAAACACCCACCCACCCATCATTAAAATTTGTTTTTCTTTTAAAGATCTCAGAGCACAATACTTTGTCACATTTCAGTTACTTTGATTTGAGGAAAATGAATTGAAAAACTAAATAAAAACTGAGATTCTGCACTGAAAAGAACATTGATTCATTTGCATTATATTCCTCTTCACAAGCTTGTCATATCTGTAGCTTTAAAATGCACCACCTGTCAAGTAAAATCGGGCCTTTTTGTTCTAAATCTGATTATGACAGTTAACGCCTTAAAAATCTATGTTTGGTTCAATAATTCTGCTAAACTGCAGAGTCAGTCAGCAAATAAGCACTATGTTCAAATATTAATGTTGTGCTACCATGAGTTATCTGTGGAGCTCAGCAGATGAGTGAAACAAGCCGTGCTAATGAACCGCGGGTCAAACTTTCCTCGCTGAGACAGAAAATGTTCACTTCACTTACCTCATCATGCATTAGTGTTGCAAGATGGGTTGTTTTCCCCCCAGGAGCTGCACACATATCCAAAATTCTCTCGCCTGGCTGAGGATTTAAAACATAGCTCACAACTGAAGAGGGCAAATTCTAGCAGAAAAAGAGGAGAAGGGCTTAAGAAACAGGGAATTTTGAAAGCTGTCTGGTTCAATATGCATATCCCTATTTTGGTTTCATTTCTCCCTTGTTAGAAACGAGCCCATGAATTTAGGCCCAGTAATAGAGGGGAGACAGCGGGGGGTAGAGGCCCCCCCTTTCACCATCCATCCACCTCCAGTGGTGCTGGTTTAGCAACTGGTGGCACAGCGGAGGTGGGCTCCTGCCCACCTCCATTGCTGCCACCTTAATGGCTGTTTCGGTGGCAGGGCAGCAAAGGCTCCTGCTTGTCAAGGGACCCCAACCCAGGATCCCTTGGAAGGGGGCAGGTCAAGCAAGACAAAAACCAAAAAGGCAGAAGTGTGAGTCTTCAGACCCCAGGGTATTGCTACCAACCAGCCCTTCTCCACGATCCAGACAGCTAGAGACCAAGAGACAAAGGCCCTCCTGGAACTAAAAGTCAAGAAAGTCACCCTTGCAAGGTGGGACGCTTCCAAGGCAACTTTCACAAAACAATGAATCTGGTAGCTGTAGCCAACGAGGGCTAAAGTACTGGATTCACACTGAACTCCACAAAAATATCAGTTAAGTGATTTATTTTAAAATTGTGCAGAAATAGTCAATAAAAGATGCTGGCCAAGGTTGCTGGACATGAGGAATACAGGGCAGAGCATACAGAGTATAAAAATAACAAAGCTATAAGTGTAACTAAGCCCACTTACACATATTGGTTCAAGATCAAGATATTATCAAAAGGAGATTTGAGTCTAATAAGGTTCCAAACTGCAAAGTCCAAGACAAGGTATCCAGTCAATAAGACCCATACAAAACAAGAAGTGTCCCAAAGTCAGATGAAAGCCAAACAAAGGACAAGCCTAGAATGAAAAACCCTTACTTTATTCTCAAAGACCTGCTTTGGCCTGATTCTAATTAACCAATCACATGTATAGCAAGTGATGTAACTTGGTCATCAGGTCTGTCGCTAAGCAGGTGAGCTGACCAATCAGAGGGGTTTGCCAGTTAAGCCAGACACCCTGCAGCTGTGTTGGGTTCAACTAAACAAACATTATCTTCCATCCATGAGCTCGGGCACTAATGAGATGGAATGTATCCTCCTAGATTCTCGTGTCTTTGAAGCTACCAGGCCTAATGGTGTGACAAGCAGCTGGGTTACCTCCCATCTCTCTTATCTGAGTCTTTGAAGCTACAAGAAGCCTGCTGTGTTTCAGAGAATGAAGCTTCCATCTTTTACTAGGCCTCAGCCTGAGCCACTGTTTGAAATTTGAATAAGAAACTGCTTAAAGAGACCAATTTCTTGACACTGCCTGCCTCCAACGTTGCTCTAGCAGCAATTTCTGCAGTGGTGGTGATGGTGGGCAGCAGAGGCCTCTGCCCACCTCCAGAGCTGCCACCTTTGTGCTGCTGCTGAAAGCCTTCATAGCCTCTCCCTTTTTCCTCTGTCCTTCTCTCCTTCCGATCCAACAGCCACCTTACCTTTACCTGCCCCACAGTCTTGCCATCCTTCCCTCCCCATGGCAGCCTCTACTCAGACAACTATGGCCGAGCCGGGCAATACCAGCACAAATTTGTGGAGGGCATCTCATTTTCCCCTTATATACTCTTACCCACACTATTTCTTCAAACTATGGCCGAGCTGGGCAATACCAGCCACCAGGCCAGGGCCAGGTACATTGGGAGGACCAGCACAAATTAGTGGAGGGCATCTCATTTTCCTCTTATATACTCTTACCCACACTATTTCTTCTTTCCCTCCTCCTGGCAACCCCCATATTGTCACCTCTCCCTGCTTCTTTCACTCATTCCCACCCACAAACCAGCCTTTTATCTGCCCCTGATTTTCAGCTATATTTATTTCTTTTATTGTCTGCCTTTCTCCACAATGGGGACCCCAAAGTAGCTTACATCATTCTCTTCTCCATTTTATCCTCACAACAACCCTGTGAGTTAAGTTAGGCTGACCACTGGCCCAAGGTCACCCAGTGAGCTCCCATGGCACAGTGGTGAATCAAACCTAGGTCTCCTAGATTTTAGTCTGAAATTCTAACCACTACACCACACTGGCTTTTGTGGTGTGGTTGCTGTTGACAGTAGCAAGCAGTCAGAACTAGGTTAGTTATGCAAGTTGTATACTAGCAAGTAGCCTGGTGGTTACAGGTGTGCTTGGCCCCAGTGAATCCTCCCTCAAAGGCCAAAGGAGCTCTGAAAACAGCCCTACTTCCTACCCCTGCCTTTTTCTGACAAAAACCAAAGCTGGAAGGCTGGTATGATACTATGTGGTTGCCTAGCAATGGCCATTGAGAGCATTCATTTTTAAAGCTAGAGGTGCTGCTTCTATTATTTGTAGGAGGCTAATGCCACCCCTTTAGCTTTCAGTATTTTTTTGCAAACTTTGCCTGTTTTCAGATTTGTCTGTCCATTTCTCCAGTCTCCTGATGTAAGTATCCATAAATCTGGCCATGTTGAGAATTAGATATATTGGTAATACCTATATTAATTTTCCCTTCGAAAATACACACGGAGACACTGAAAGTCATTCATAAAGTAATACATATTACCTAACGTATGTGGTAAAAACGTTAAATCAATGGTACTGGGTTAATGGTATGAAACATTAGCAGAACAGTGCGCATCAATATATTTTTGCTTCTGCTTCTCAAACAGTCACGTGATATTTGTTTTTCAACAGCACACTCTTACATGTATGCTAAAGCTGCCCAATGGAAAATTTTATACTATGAACTGTTCACATGAGAGCATCATGTGATGCTCTCATCTAATGTGATGCCGACTAAGAGATATGGAAATGCTGTCGATAGTGATCAGTGATGGCTTATTCATTTATGCAGTTTACCAGCTAACACTACAAGTGATAAACTTGCACAGGTAGCTCTGGGCGATTTCTTATTTAAATCCCAGTACAAGGCTGAAATAAAAAAAGTACTAATAGTCTTATGTTTGATATGTGACCACTACAATTAATACAACTTTTGGAGAAGGAGCAAAAAACTTATGTTGTTCCACAGCTGAAAGAAAACAAAGGAATAATGAGTCTAGGGAGGCAGGTTGTGTGAGAGAAGCTTTTCTTGGATGTAAGATTTCCAGAGAGACTTTTTATTCGTCTTATGAAGAATTCGCCATCAACAAAATAAATTAAATCAAAACAAATGCTTTTTACTGTAAATGAAACCTAGTGTAAGTTGCATGTAAGTTGCAAACATGTCTCACTTGGTAACCTTTACAAAATCAAATTAAAGCTTCTTGTTATATTGCCTCACTTACTGGAAAACACAGGTAATTAGAATTTTTATTTTGGAAGCCCAGATTACTTTGGCTGTGTAAGACCAAGCAAGATCGATCTGTTAGTTCAATCTACAAACCAGTTCACCTGGCCAGCCTGGATTCAAGCCAATTCAAACCTATTAAAGTCCATGGGACTTGGTCACTGTTCAGCCACCTAAACTGAACTGTGGCTAACAAATGTTTTATTTTTAAAAATCATGCCAAGTGCAATCATAAAAGAGAAGCAACAATAAGTACTTTGCCAATAGCTAAACCTAGTATAGGGCTTGGCTTATTTGTTTACTATGATGTTAAAGTGAAATATTGAGATTCTATAATGTTAAAGAGTTGAAAGTAAAGGCTGTTACATATGTTCCTATATGAATACTACACCTACATAGGAGAAAGCAGAATCCATGTGCCATGTACACTGCCATTTATGAAGAATGCAAGAAACTATGGCACCATACGTATATGTAAAATATATATGCATATGCAGGGAATACATAACCCATGCTTTTCATTGCTTCCTTGAACACCTTGTGTATAGAAAACAATGTTATGTTTCATAGAAACAAGAACAGGTGTCATCTGAAAAGTCAAATATAAAATTCCTATAGTCAGGTTTGGACTATAAGAGACATTTATTTGAAAGTTTCAATGGTTTTGAGGAACTGACCTATACTTAGGGTCACAGACAGTCCAATCTTATGTATCTGTACTCAAGAGTAAATCGCACAGCATTCAATGGGAATAACTTTCAGAAAACAGAACTGCAGCTTAATGTCCAGAAAACTTAATAACTGCTTACCTGCAAAAATATGTAACTGGATAGCACATTGTCAAACGAAGGACTAAGGTAGATTGGCTCTATCATTTTTACCCCCAACCCTCTGAAAGGCACAAAACTCATTGTTAAAAATTGCATGTCTACATTTCTGGAACTATGTTATGCTATTGCAAAATGTCCTTATTCTAATACTTTTAAAAAAGACAATGTGAAACATTATCAGTACTGCCACATAGTATAAGCCTGTAATTAATTCTAATTTTACATTTCTGATTATAACTAGAAGAATTTCATAAATCTGGATCAATATCAGCATAAACTTAAATTCATAGATGTGTGACAGTTGAGTAGTTTCTTAAGTTTATATAACAGTACACTATTTTCTACTTTAGAACAACTATAGTGCAATCATAAGTAGAGTTAAACGCTGCTAAGTTCCTTGAAGTCACTGAAGTTAAAACTATGCTTAGGATTGTATTGCTAAAAGGTACTGTTCTGTTCTCTTTGTAAAACTAGGTTAATGCTTAGTTGCCTGTATTGCACTGATGTTACACGCAAGAGTTATCATCTTCTGTTTTCAGCCCTCTAAGAAAACTCTCTGCAGTACATTCCCCATTCTTTGAGGGTACAACTAAGTCTCTATTCCTAATAATGCTGCATTGTACAAAAGCATGAAGCACAGCTGCTTCACAGATCATCATGAAAACCATGAAAACCCCTGAACCCAATGGAAGGAGCCAATGGTACAGCTCCTAACCACACCACTGCAACCCCAATTTCCAGGAAAAGAAGTGTTAGTCTGCTTAGGAGCAACAGTACAGTCTTCTGTCATACAACCCAGGGCTTCTTGTGTTGCTGAAATGAAGAGAGAGAAGAAGAAAAAACACTGTGGGTCCAGCAAGAAAGAGTGCAAACAACAGAGTGGAGAGAAAGAGAGAGATGTAGGCAAACAGAGAGAAGTGCTCAGATAGTCCTGTAACAGATGGAGAAAGGGACCAAGCCACACAAGTCTCTCATAACAACTAACAAAATAACATATAAATAACGAATTGTTATAAGCAAGAACTCTACAAGTATATTGTGATATTAAAACTAATTGTACTAACATTTTTACTAACAGTGAAAAGATCTCCTCCTCTTGGGGTTTTAGTTTAGTGTGGTTTGCTTTCCTTTATCCTTAGTTGTAGTCCCTTCCCTAATATTTCTTTGTAGTATTTGCAAAATAAAAAAATATCCCTCCGGGGATTTAAAAAAAGAAAAAAAAAGTAAACTCAATTAACAAAAAGTGACTTTAAGCCACAGGAAGTGGTGGTGGCTACAAGCATGGATGGCTTCAAAAGGGAATTAGATAAGCATATGGAGCAGAGGTCCATCAGTGGCTATTAGCCACAAGGTATAGATAGGGGCTCTGGGGCAAGTGATGCTCTGTCTTCTTGGTGCTTGGGGGGGGGTCAACACTGGGAGGGCTTCTAATGTCCTGGCCCCATTGGTGGACCTCCTGATAGCACCTGGTGTTTCTGGCCACTGTGTGACACAGAGTATTGGACTGGATGGGCCTTTGGCCTGATCCAACATTGGCATCTCTTATGTTCTTAAGTGATTTTCCATGGTTAATGTATGGATGCGGTTTGCAAGCGTCAGCAGTATAAAAGTAGCACTCTCAGTAATCTGAGTGGTATACTCCTGACAAATATAGCTGAAAATGTAAGTGATGAATAACTGCTGTCAGCAAAAATGGATGCTATACTTTGGTAGAGCAGATAATGCTCTATGAGGCAAACAAAAACTGGACCAAGGGAAAAAACCAGGAACAGGCTGAACTACAGGAATCACGTAATTCATTTTGGTAATCAATCAGGATTACAACATTTAAAAAATATATATATTTCAAAATCAAACACTGGTCCAAGTTTTTTTTTTAAAAGGTTTAACATCTAAACTGATTTTAATGAAATATTTTTCCTAATACATCCCAAATCCTAATTCTGGAAAAAAATTACACATAAAATATACTACTTCTGTTCATATTATAACATCCATCTTCACAAGTGGCACCAAAATTATGGCACTCCCTCCTCAGGGATAATCTTCTGTCCCATCACTATCTTCTGCCAGCAGGTGAAGACATTTTTTGTTTCAACTGGAGCTCCCTCAGTCGCTCCTCCTTTCTGCCCTATGTTCCAAATGCTGGTTCTGCTTTTTTATATACGTATTTTACTTATGGTTTTAATTGGCTTTATAATGTGTTTTATAATGTGCTCTGCTTTTAACTGTGAGCTGCCTTAGTCGCCCCGATTAGGCAGAAAGGCAGATATAAATTTTGTAAATAAATAGATGTAGTGGTGGAAACACACACCCTACCTACGATTTTACATCAGTTGCATCTTTTCCCCACATTTCTCAGAACATTCCAAACTTCATTATTGGCAGTAAATGAAATGGCGTTTTTTTTACCATTTCTGAACTGATGCTACCAGTTTTATCTTCCTCAAAGATCTCCATAATCTTAGTAGGATAGATATTCTACAGCCTTTCACAACTACTTATTGCGCGGTTGGACCCTACTATCTTTGTGCAGAAAGTAATGGCCACAGATCTTTCCCTTTTCTACATCAGTCCCTTCCCGCTCTCGGAACACTGATTTCCAGGGTTGCAGGCCAGTGTTCCCTTGGAGCTGAGTCAGTGTGAGCTAGCACACAGTTTGTTAGTCTCCGGCTCACACATTTTTGTCATAGCTCAGGAAGGATGGCTCCAGAGCAAACTAATTTATGCAGTAGCCAAATCGCTTGCTCACAACTTTAATGCCAGGAGCTCACAATTCTTGCTCACAAGGCTCCACAGCTTAGAGGGAGCATTGTAAAGGACCCACACGAAGTAACAGCTATGCCCCTTGGACGGGGTAAGAGGGCAAAGCCTCCCCTCTGCCTCTTGCGTCAGGAGATCTGGCACTTGCAGCAGAGAGGAAAGGCTGCTTTCCTCCCATTCCAAAGAGGAGGAGGAGGAGGAGAAGAACTGGTATTTATACCCCAATTTCACGACCCTGATGGAGTCTCAGAGTAGCTCATTATCACCTTCCCTTCCTCTCCCTACAACAGATACTCTGTGAAGTAGGTGGGGCTGAGAGAGTTCGGAAAGGACTGTAACTGACCCAAGGTCACCCAGCTGGCTTCATGTGGAGAAGTGGGGGAATCAAACCTGGTTCTCCAGATTAGAGTCTGCCCCTCTTAACCACTACACCAAACTGGCTCTCTGCATCCCTTCAATCTGTATGTTGCTGGGAATGAACCAGCAACAAATGGAAATACTGGAGGGAGAGAACATGAGAAAGATCCATGAGCCTTGTGTGAATGGATCACAGGATCCAACCTACTGAATTTGATATATGTGACAATGTTTGGTGCAGTGGTTAAGTGCGTGGACTCTAATCTGGGAGAACCAGGTTTGATTCCCCACTCCTCCACTTGCTGCTGCTGGATGACCTTGGGCAAGCCATAGTTCTGTCAGAGCTGTTCTCTCAAGGACAATTCTGGAAAGAACTCTCTCATCCCCATCTACCTCACAGGGTGTCTGTTGTGGGGAGGGGAAGGGAAAGGAGTTTGTAAGCCGCTCTGTGAGTGAAGGGCGGGGTATAAATCCAATCTCTTCTTCTTCATACTTCACATTCCTCAAAATAGGCTATCCATTCAAAAAGAGACTTTAATTCTAACCTGTGAACTCTCACATATGCCTCTAAAATGGCACAAAATAGTACAAAAGTTTGAGCTCATGGGGGGGTGTTTTGGTTTTTTTTAAATAAAAAGAGTACGTATTCTCCACCCCTGGGCCAGTCAGACACTTTCACCTAATCTACCTCACACAGTTGTTGCAAGTATAAAATGGGGAAGAGAATAATTATGTAAACTGCTTTGGTTCCCCACTGCAGAAAAAGGTGGGATAAAAATGAAACAGATCATCCAATAAGTCATCATTTTACTTACTTCAGTGGGGCATTAGAATTAAAAATGTCATTGCGTCCCACTTCAGAAATCCCATTTCCAAGGAAAACTTTGGTTCCCAGAAATTCTTTGGCTCCTCTTTTACATTTCCCTTCAATATCAGAGTATACAGAAACCACATCACCAGCTTTCATAACTGGGGAGAGAAAAGAGAGAACATGTCCAATTATATTTTACTTGGCATGAGAACACTGGTCAAATCATTAGGGACATCTGCTAGGACATGCACTCCAGCCCTATGTACTTGCAAGGAAACATTTCAGGTCAGGACTTGCTCTGGAACATGGCTATTCCACACGCACACTTGGCAGCATTTCCTATGACTTTTTAAAGAAGTACATCTAAGTCTTTCAGCACAGTAAAAAAACCCAATGTTCAATCTATAAAAGTCACATTTAAATATAAAGTGGCTTATACTGGAAAAGCTGTAGTAGAAAGGGAAAAGAAGTAGCAGGAACTTACATCTGTCTTTTCTTTCAAATAGACAGAACGAAATCATTTTCTGTGTTACAAAATATATTCCTTAACATGAACTCCTAAGACTTTAACTTCTGTCATTTACATCTTCCTGACCTGAGGAACGGCTTCTCACAACTGCCTGAATTGTAAGGACCTAACAGCAGCCAACCCTTTCAAGGGGTTTTCAGGAATAAACAAATAAATTTTTTAAGCTTCCATAACAAATAACTTGAATAACAAATTAAAGTCATAAATGTTCACAGTCCTGTATATTCCTAGGGATGCCAGTCTCCAGATGAATCCTGGAGATCCCCTGAAATTACAGCTCGTCTTCAGACTACAGAGATCCTTAAATGGATGCTTTGGAGAGTGGACCCTGAAGTCCCTGTCCTCCCCAGGCTCCACCCCCAAATCTCCAGGAAGTTCCCAACCTGGAGCTAGCAACCCTATCCCCCACAGCCCCAAGTGGCCAGGGGAGACCCGGCAAATATTCCCCATTAGGCCTTCTACAATGGACCTAAACATTACAGTAGAAACAATTATTTGAGACAACCCTGAAATTAAATGACTGGACAACTTCTCCCACACCAAGCAAAATGCTGCCAATGGGAGCTCATTAAGCCTGGCTGTCCCTGAGTAGAATAATTGGCGGAGGAGTGTGACGCACTTGGCCAGCCCCAAAACTTGGCTGCCAGACTACGTTTGGCCTGGTGGAGGATATACAAGAAAGTGGCCTGATCTAAGAAACAAAACATTTTAAAAGAGAAAACCAAAACCAAAAAGGATAGTCCTGATCTTAAAAATGGGTGCATGGTGGTGATGTAGCAATGGCTTCATTTTGGTGATTTGGAATGTGCATAAGATGAAACAAATGTGATAGAATATTTAGCTGTTTATGTGATGAAAGAGAGAAATATTTGTTTTGATAGATTTTACAAATGTGTAACTTCTCCTTGTTCTTGAAGAAGATATTACCAAAATACCGTGGAGACCCCAGTTCTCACTTGTCATTCTGGTGTGCTGCTGTGCCTTTTTACAATTGTTCTTGTTCCTCATTTTGCAGTTTCCCACACCCCTTTTTAAAGAGGTATGAAACTGTATGCATAAGGATATCCCTTTACCCAAGGCATTAAGCCTGGTCCTCTCTCTTCCTACTGAGACACTCACAGCTGACTACTTGGAGAAGTGTGTGGATGGGCAATCAGACAGACATGCAAATATGCATCCCACAGAAAGTAACTGCATAACATCCCTATTCAGATGCTCTCCATCTTGCACTACATTTCTGTTAATGGAGCATGCATCCCCAACCACATTCTGCCCCAATTAGTCACGTGTCAACTATGAACAACAGAAGCTAAATATGGGCAAAAGACTTGCCACACAGTGCTGAAAAGATTAGGAGAGCCAGTGTGATGTAGTGGTTTGAAGGCTAGCCTAGCTTCCAGGAGACCCAGGTTCTAATCTTCACTCTCCCAGGGAAGCTTGCTGGGTGACCTTGGGCCATTCACATATTTTCATCCTAACTTACCTCACAGGATTATTTTGAGGATAAAACGGAAGCAAGGAGAACAAGGTAAACCACTTTGGGTCCCCACTGGGGAGAAAAGTAGGGCATAAATGAAGTCAAAAAAAAATTTGCCAACACAACACAGTTAACACAGGGAGTGTTGCCTGGCTGACTACACAAAACAGACGCATCCTCTCTTTCCCCCATTCGGAGTGAAATGGGAGGACTGGGCTTGCCCTCAGTGCTATCACATAAACTTGATCCCCTTGTTTGCAATAATGCAGCAAACAAAAAATCAGCCTAAAAAAGATGTGGGAAATGTTAAAAAGTAAACCTCAGCAAAACTTGGTGCAGCACTAAAAAAAAAAGAGAGATGTACAGGGCTACTTATGTATATAAGGCAAATATTCAAAGAGACAGTGTCTTTCAATTATGTAATTATTTTTTCTGAAATCCTGAATTCTGAAAGATAAGGGGAAATTCTTACACTTTGAAGTGGATATAATTCCAGGGGCATACACATGGGCTCCTCGAAGCACTGCATTTCCACACTGGGCACCAACAATTACCTGGTTTGTCAATTCTTGAAGATCCTTTCTAGGAAGGGAAAGACATTTAATGAAGGAACATCTAGTCAGTCATGTAGAAAATCTAGAAATGTTTGGATGAAAGTTGAATGACATTCATGTGGTCGGGATACGAAATAAATTTGATACAGAGGGCCACGCAACTTGCAACTCACTAGTTCATTTGAGTTGAACACAACTGCCTCTGCAGTCACACCTACCTCTCTGCTGCGCAGATCCCCTTCAGCCACTACTAGGGTTGCCAGGCTCCAGGCAGGGCCTGGAGATCTCCCGCTTTTACAACTGACCTCCAGCTGACAGAGATCAGCTCCCCTGGAAAAAATGGCTCCTTTGGAAGGTGGGCTTCATGGGATTATACCAGTTAAGTTCCTCCCCCCTCAAACCCTGCCACCCCAAGGCTCCAACCCCCCACCAAATTTCCTGGAATTTCTCAACCCAGAGGTTTGTCAAACCCAGACCTGGCAACCCTAGCCACTACTGCTAACTGCTATCCACCTGTTTTGCTTCCACTGTCTTTCCATCAGTGTGATCTTTTTAGATGAGAAATAGTTCTTTTTAGATGAGAAATAGTTCTACATTCTCTCTGTCTCACTCATAAATTGTATATTTAAAATCTGAAAGGCAGTTTTGTAAAACTAAGGCTCTCTTAAAAATTAAAATACACAGCATTTAAAGGTAAGTAAACTCTACTGGTAGGCATGTTATTATGGTGAATTATCATCTGAGCTACTGATGATGAAACATAGTAGCTAAAATAACATAAAAATTGTAAAAACTACAAACCTGGGTCCAATAATAGGAATAAGTAAAATGTCAGGAAGTTTTGGATGCTGAAGAAACGGAACGCTGAAACCTTTATATTGCTACAAGTTAAAAGAGAGAAAAGTACATTGATTAAACATGTTTAATAATAAGTAGCCTGTAGTATCAGAAACATTTTATTTTTCATCATTAGGAAGGTCTAGACAAAAATCCAATAAATAATGAAAAAGGAATCTAAAACATTAAAGCCCTTTTATTGTTCACAATGCATATAAGTTTTTACTTGGGACAGATATTTATGCTCAGGAAAAAAAAAATACAAGACAACCAAAATCCTAATGAATACTACCAATTACCGGTTCACTCCCGTGATGTTACGTGGGATCACAGAAAAAAGGCTTCAGCTTTACATCTTCATTCAGGATTGGATTCAGAAAAAAGGTTCAGGCCGTTCAAATGCACAGAAAAAGAACCTTTAGAGCCCTTTTCAGGGCTAATTGCAGAAAAAAGTTTGTTACTCCAGATTTCAGTTGTAAATTCTTCCTTTCAGCCTACTCATATTTTTATTATCATCCACTATCTTTTTCATTTTAGAAGTTCTTTTATTTGCTATTCACATCATACCCTTGATTTACAGTGCAATGCTAGAGTTAAACTTTTCTAAAACCACTGGTGTCATCAGGTTTAGAATTATATTGCTAGTGGCATAACTGATTAAAAGACAGACTGAGGCACTTCACAGACCTTGCGGATCTCTTCAGACAGTAGACTTCTTATGTGTTCCACAGATGCCAAGTGAGTGTTCACTCGAACAGTTGTGAAAGCTGGTGGGTGAGACAAATTATTTAATAGATGTTCATATTTCCTCTCAACTTCCAGGGGACCCACAGCAGATATGAGCTTAAAATAAAAGCACACAAACAAAATACATTCATTTAGAAATACTATGCCGTAATTATGTTGTAATTCTGGAGACAGATTTATCACAAGCTACAATTCAGTTAAACCTAAAACTTCCATGGAAACATCAGCTTATCTCCAAATGCTTCTGTATAGAAATCAATGACAAGTAAGACTGCAATACTTGCCAGGATGATATTGTGGGTGCAATCCTAAGCAAGTCTGCTCAGGAGTACATTCCATGTGGGGCTTATTTCCAAGAAAGTGTCTTTAGGATTGTAGCCTATGAGGGCTAGAAATCAAGGAATCTGTTATAATCAGCTGATGAGTCACACCCTAAGTGGTAAAAATTAGTTGAGGGGCTGGAGATGTGCATGTTTGGTTTCAAGAGTTCTAAATAGTCTTTTCTTTTACTTTGAAATATATTATCTATATATCTAATTCCCAAGAGTGCCCCCTATCTGTAGATATCTAAATCCACAGATTAGGAGTACACTTACCCCAAACAGGCTCTTCTGCAAATTTGGATGACCCCTAGGTTTGCAGAAAAATCTGAAAAGTAAAATAACAACAACAATAATACATTAGGGGTTTAAACTGCCCCCTAAAATAAAATAAAATAGCATTGTCTGTGCATGTTTAGGAAATGCACTTACCCTGGGCGCCTGGAAGTTTCCGCAGTGACAGGGTCTTGGATCTGCCAGCAGGTGAGGGAGGGAAGCCCCCGAGGGAGGGCCCCCACTTTTCTATACATTATTAGCAACGTCCCCCCCCCCCCCAATCTGTGGATACCTAAATCCACAGATCAGGGCCAAAGTGAGGGCCCCCACTTTTCTATACATTATTAGCAACGTCACCCCCCCCCCCAATCTGTGGATACCTAAATCCACAGATCAGGGCCATGATGCTAAAGAGATTTTTCTGCAAACTTGGGGGACCCTGTAGGTCTGCAGAAAACTTCCAAATCTTAACAAAAATATATTGCCGCCTGTAATGATTCCTTGTTTTAGAGTGTGTGTGTCTCTTTAAATGTTTGGTTGCAGTGCAGTGAATGCAGAGTAGAGTGTTTGAGGGACAGAAGTGTGGTGTGATTGGAGGATGACAGAGTGTGGGAGGAGTTGTTCTGTGTGGATATCAGTTAGTCAGTTATAGAAAAGTCAGTTAGATAAATCAGTTGGAATTATTCAATTAGTGAGTTCAGTCAGTGAGTGTTCTGATAGTTCTGTGTGGGATCTTAGAGTGCAGTATATATGTATTCAAAAGTGAGACTCTAAATATCTGAAAGGAAGTTAAAATTACCAAGAGCTGTCAGAGTGGGATCTTAATGTCAAAAGGACAGTGTGTGTGATACATTTGACAGGCATATTTACAAGTCCCTTATTCCCAAACAGTTACAGAATAACCAACCTCATATTTTGTTCTTATTTCAATAAATCATCTTTTGTTCAAGTTTATCCCAGAATTCAGCTCTATCTTTCCTCAGAACCACATAGATCCCTGAAAAGCCCAGATTCTGGGTCACATTACCAGCAGCAAAGGAGAGAAGGTTTGGAATTCCTTAAATTCCTGGTGGCAGCAGAAAATACCCAGTTTACAAAAGCAAAAAACACATATAAAGTGAAAACCAGTCCTCCCAAATAAGAGGACGCTACACACCCGAAATAAAAAAGCAATGTCTATGCACGTGCAGACAATGCATCTACTACCGAAGCTGGGGATGGCTGCTGCAGGGAACCACTCTGGGCTCAGCTGCCATGGAGAAGGATGCCAGGACTGGCTTCTTGCTGGGCAGTGGCAGATGTCAGGAGTCGCTCCTTGCCTGGCCATGGTGGCAGCAAATACCAGAAGAGACTCCAGGCCAAGCTGCCACAGCAGAGCACTCTGGGAGCCCTTCCGGGCCTGACTTATGCAGCAAAGCACTCTGGGAGATTCTCTGGGCCTGGCCTCAATGGCTGAAGACACAGAAGCCGTTCTGTGCTCACAGCAGCTCCAATGTATCATTACTATCCCCACTGGGCTAAAGGTAGATGATGGGGCATGGATCCGTGATGGGATTCCCCCCACGAGTCTTCGTTCCCACTGAGCCTTATGGAGAATCAGCAGCAATGCAAGGGAGGGATTCCCTCCTGAGAGTATCGCGGGTCCCCACTTGCAAATAATTATTATCCATCAGGGTCTGAGGAAAGGGATGAGTTAGAAGTCAAATAAACATTCACTGTCTTGTTGCGAATGTCTGCAGTTCCAGAATGTTTTAACTCAAGCATAGAAAACATTGAAAGAAAGTGAATTAAGAAAAATAATCATTATAGCACTTTTAACACATACCTTATCATTTTTAAATGTGGCCTGCAGATATTCTTCAACCTCCGGTCTCAGTTTGATCTTGCAGAAAACAGACATAGTCCCTGTGGTCTAGTATTTCCCCTGGAAAACATCCGCAATAAACAATATTTTAAGATGACTTTCACTACGTATTTGGACATCCACAATTCATAACCAAAGACAGACTCTGAAGGGTCATGTAATTTCTTCTTTCTTGTATTGCCACAGGCGATGGTAGGGGAAAGGGCTGTCAAGTCGCAACTGACTTATGGCGACCCTGAAGGGTTTTCAAGGCAAGAGACATTCAGAGGTGGTCACGTCTGTCTCGGCTTTTTTCACTGCCTGCCCCATGCCTGTGGTACAGCCTCCCAGGCTCAAGGGAACGTCTACCCTCAAGGCTTTCTGACGAAGCTGTAAGACAGAAATATGCCACAGAGCCTTTAAATCAGTGAGTCTGGGATGAAGGGAATATGAGCAAAAAGTTATTTTAGTGGTGGCTTTTAAAGTAGATTTAATGTGTTTTATTTTAAGTTGTATTAAAAAGACAATTTTATTGTCTTTTATTTTACTGTTAACAAACCCTGGTCCTGACTTAGTCAGGAATTACCCCATAGATTTACTGGAAACAAACGTAAAAGGGGGTAGACCAAACATATATTCCAAGCCCTACTTCTCAAAATCCCATCACCAAAGATACAGCTCATCCACAACCCTATTTCACCTCCAGACCAGCAATCAGAAGCACATGAAACTTCTCCATAACTGAGGACCCAAATCGCTGATCCCTAACCGAAAGGATGAAGTTTTGCAATGGCAGGCATGTTCAAAGTTGGCATATTAAGATGGCAACTGATGGGCTAAAATGGTAATGTTTTAAATTGCAGATGCCCAACATAAAAATATCTTTTAGAATTAGAATTTTAGAATGTCATCTTTTTTACTGATGCAGCCAAAGCCTTCAGAAAGCAGGGCTGAAAAACTGTCCTCGAAAAGGGTATAGGAAGGTTTATTTCTGGGGAAATGAAAGGAGATAAAAGCTCCAGTTGTACTCAGAAAACTGTGACCAGTTGGCATCAGGCTTTATTTTTAAAATCTTTTATCTTTTTCAATAATCATGAAGCTCAGCCCTCAGCATATTTACTCAGAAGTTGCAAGAAAGCATGCAGCCTTCCTTATCTGTGTCTTAGCTCATTTTCCTTGCTCAATGTTTTAAATAAGCATGCCTAAAGCCATGTTCCTTTGGAAAGGTTCCCACCTCAAACTGAAGGTTCAGGGCTACTACCTCTCCCAGTTATACAACTGAACTTGCAGGGCTGCTAAAACATAGGGGGGACTCAGAACACATTTCTATGTACGATGACTCAAAAGGCCAGTTCTGAGTTTAGTGGGGCTTGTTCCCGAACAAGTGTGGCCCTCGCATGAAGATGCAGTGCATGGCTTGAAGTTGTCCTGTCATCTCGGTCAGTTCTACAGAGCCAGTTAAACTGCATGGGGGTTGTCTCAGTTCACTCTAAGTGTTTTTCACCATTCATGCAGTTCTCACACGTGAGCTCTCATTCTAAGCAGGTTTCACCCACATGGGGCAGTGAAGTTGGAGCCAGAGTAAAGATGACAAGCCGGTGTTTTAACGTCGAACACGGAACGTTAGTTTTGCAAATACTTGTACAGGATAGGACCGAACTCAACAGTAAGGAGGCACCTGCCTCTCTCCAGTATCGCCAGCTATAAAATGCTTTCCTGTCCTTTCTTGCCTGCCTTCCCCACTCCTGCAATGCCATGTTTTATCCCACGAAACTGCGGTTATGCTCTAACTGTGTTAGAAATATGGGTCATCTTATCGACCACTTCTCATGTCTCTGACTACCACCAAATATTTTTTTAAAAAAAACCCACACACACACACCCATTTGTTAGCACTTTTTCCTTCGCCTCAAGCTTGAGGTGCAAAATTTTTTTAAAAATGCCGCCCACCCTTTCCTGTTGCTGGGTGACTGCAGCGCCATCTCTTAGTTTTGCAGTGCAATCATATACATGCATACTCGGAAGTAAAGGGTAAAGGTTCCCTTGGTCGAAAGCCAGTCGAATCCGACTCTAGGGTTGCGGTGCTCATCTCCGTTTCAAAGCCGAAGAGCCAGCGCTGTCCGAAGACGTTTCCGTGGTCATGTGGCCGGCATGACTAAACACCGAGGCGCACGGAACGCTGTTCCCTTCCCACCGAAGTGGTACCTATTTATCTACTTGCAATTTCTTGCTTTCGAACTGCTAGGTTGGCAGGAAAGGAAGTCCCGCTATATTTCAACGCGGCTTACTCTAAGCAAGTGTCTAGAGCGGCATCCGTTTATCCTGACGGGAAGCAAACAATCCTCGCTTCACCCCACGGGCCAATGGCCGCCCTTCGTTCCCTCTCCCTGCTCCAGTACCAGAAGCCGCTCCACCTACTCCGTACCTTACGCCACGCCGGGCAGTTTCGCGTCATCCGGGGAAGCCGGAGTCAATTTTAGCCTAGCCCACCCTGGGCTCGTGGGCCGTCCTTTCCCACCGCCCCTCTGCTTCCTACCAGGGCGGCGCCTGCCATCAAATTGCAGGAAGTGGCCCTGCAGGGAGCGTCTGGATGTACTCAGTCATAATCGTGAGGGAGAAATAGCTCAGACTCCAGCTCCGCTCAAGCTGTACGGCTTCTCTGGCAATTAAAAGGAGATTCTTTTAAGAAATGGCACACTTTTGCAGTCACTAATCGTGGCGAATAATATTCTGCAAGCCCGCCCCGTGAAAGCTCACCCCTTCTCCATGGGCTGTACTGACCACTGAAGGAAGTTTTACAGAGGAACCCTAAACAGTTCTAGTTGGAAGTCCCATTTTATTCTGGTGGGCTCACTCCCAGGAAAGTGTTTTTAGGGTTACTGGTACTGAAAACTCAAAAAAGGAGTTTGGTAACATCTATTATTCCATCAAATCCATGAAGTGTGTTCTCAGTTGCTAAATCTGTATGTATGTATCAACAGAGAGAGGAAGAGAACGATCACAAATGAAATGCAAGCGTTTTGGGGCACTGTAAAGATTAACATCCATTACTTAATTTTAAAAATCGTACATGTTGGTCCAGAGAAAACGCCTAATAATGGGTGTAAATAGCTTTTGTTAAAAGACCATCCAAAATATTACAAATTAGTGAACAAGCTTTTGAGTTTCCCAGAATTCCTCAATCAGGATAGCTTTATTTTATTTTTGGGAATACTGAACTTCCAGCCAGATGAACAAATCCGGAGAATCCCAAAGCTTTCTTACTCTTATGTGATATTTTGGTTAATCTCAAGAAAAAGCAATCACGTTACATTATTTGTTGTTGTTGTTATTTCATGCAATGCATGAAAAATATCCTACGTTGTCTATTCCCTATGTACGTCGCAGACAGTGAAACGTTAGCAAAGCACAAGTCAACCCCTTCAGGCTCCTTTGTCGTTTTTCCTTTAAAAGGACAGCATTCACTTCCGGACGAGAAGATGACGGTAGTCGCCCAACCCCGCCCTCATCCCTCCCCAACCAAAGGGGCCTATAGCCTCCATGAAACTTACCACTTCCGGTTCCCTCTAGAACATGCGGGGAACAAGAGGCAACACGATGCCCCTGAGTTCCTGACCTACATATGGTGATATTTGAATGGAAACAGGAAGTGAGGACTCCACGTTAACTCTCGTCCTTCTGTCTCTAAGTCCCATCCTGGTTTCGCCGATGCGTCACCCCTCATCAGAAATGTACGCCTGGCGTGCGGACGTGGTGACGTAAAGGCCGTGGCGAGAAAGAAGGATGGGCAAGGCTGTGGAGGCGGCCAGTGTGGCGAAGAGGAGGAGGGCGGGGCGGAGCGGGGCCGGTTTCGGTCCCTCCCACCACGTCGCCTGAGCGAGAAAGGCAGACAGGTCTCCGGTCAGTGGTAGGGATCGGCGGCGCTGCTCCGTCTCCAGCTCGGGATGGGTCTGATCTTTGCCAAGCTCTGGAGCCTGTTCAGTAATCAGGGTGAGTAGAAACGGAGGGCGGCGGCGGGTATGCAGAGGGGAGATGGGCTGGAGGAAGAGGAAAGCCGTGGATCCTCTCAGTGGAGCTTCGTGGGGAGAGAGAGAAAGGGGGATCTGAGGATGGAGGAGTATGGCCATCGGGGAAGGTGGAAGGGGAGAGTTTACCTGGAGTGGATGAGGGGGTTATTGCGTTAGGGGTATGTTCTTGGGACAGGGAAGGAAAGTCACTGAAGGCTTAAACGGGCTAGTCACACAGACTTAACCTACAGAAAAGAAGAATAGGCAGGAATCTTGTTGCACCTTACAGAATGTGTTTTTTATTGTCTGAAGAAGTGAGCGGTGACTCACGAAAGCTCCTACCCTGCCACAAACGTTGGTAGTCTTTAAGGTGCTGCTGGACTCTTGCTCTTTTCTCGTGCTAGACAGATAGAGTAGCACGGCTACCCGTCTTGTTTTGTATTGTAAGTGCAATGAATGGATCCCTGTGATGCAGGCACTGATTGATTCAGTAAGTAAACCCTCACACTGTGGATGCTTACAGCTGCGTAGTGAAGATGCACTCACAGTGTCTGAAAAAGTGAGACACTTTTATTCCAGTGAAACCATGCACTGGAATAAAAGTTTTGTTGATTATTCCTGTTTGTTTTTGCTGCAGCAGAGTACATGGCTGTTGAGTGACCTTACAGGGTTGTTGTTAGGTTAACATGGGGAGAGGGGGAATCTGTGTGTGCTAGCATGAACTGTGGAGAAAACCCTGCTTTGAGCCGAGAGCCATGTATATCACCCAAACAGGCTATCTCTTGCTTCTTTATCTTGTCCTTCCATTTCAACATCACAACAGCCCTGTGAGGTAGGTGAGACTAAAAGAGACAGTAACTAACCAAATGAGCTTCATGGCTAAGTGAGGACAAAAAAAGTAAAAGTGTAATTGAGAGTGATGAGAAGTATGATGTTTTCATGGGCTCTAGAAAAAGACGAAGGAAGGAGAGCGTTGTCTAAAATTCATTTATTTACTTGATAAAGTTTCGTTTTGACTTTCACCAAATGAAGTCCCGACACATTATCATATTTTTAATTCTGAACCAGGTGGTCCTACGTGGATCAAAAAGTGCAGAGAATGGGGCCAGGTGTAGATAGGAGGTATCTTCAACAGACATGCCCCCTAGGTTCACAGAAACGTAAAAAAATAATTTTTTTTAGAAAAGTATCAGGATGATGTGGTACCACACAAGATCTCAGCTACCATTTTTTGGGGGGGAAAGGAGAAGCAGCTGCCCGTCACTGGATGTGTGGGGTGGGTGAGGAGAAGCAGGAGCCTTTGCCTGTCCCCACCACCAGCATCGCTGGCAGGCAAAGAGGAAACTGCTGCTCCCCCACCACCACCACATGCCCACAGCAGTGATGTGAGATGGGCTGGCAGATGCGATGTCACTGCAGGCAGACAGACTTGTTGCCAAGGGGGCATCCGAGTGGGTGTGGGGGAAGGATGGGATCCCCCCCCCGCCTGAGTCTTGAGGGTCACCTGCTTGAAAAAATCTAATACTTATCATTCAATCAACAATACAAACACAGCACTGAGACTCACAAAACAAATGTAAATAGAGTTCACTTGGTTCGTTAGGGCAAGGGTGTGTGCATTGTTCAGTGTTTGTGCAAAATTCGGAAAATATCCTGGTGAATGTAAAAACAGTTTTCCTGC